TGCGATGGGATTTTTGGTACGTACCTAGATACCTCTTTTAACAAAGATAGATCACTCATGGTTAGTCTGAAGTTGGGCCTTAGATGGCATGAAGGAAAGAAAATCTGATAGAGTAAAGTCAGTACCTAAGGCAAATGAACTAGGGGTTTAGGGAAGGTTCCAGATTGGAACTGTGGACTAGAATACACTTTGGTGAGAGTGCACAAGGCAGAAGCATAGTTGTGGTATCCACATAGCCAGAATGAGAGGACTGTCAGGGTTGGGTGGGTGTCTCGACTGAGTATGGGCTCTAGATTCCAACAGGTCTGAATCTGTGTTTGTCAAAATTAATTTTAAAAGGGATAGGAAAAAATGCATCTTTGGGATTCATGATGTTTGGTTTATGCAACTTGATAGGATTTAAAATTGGGAATAAATTAGTATAGTCCTGCACACCCCATCACAGCTGTTAGTTCATGATAATTAATTCATAATAACAGCTGTAGGAAACATATCTGAGATGGTATGTATGTCATTTTCTTTAACATGCACATATATTCTAGCTTTCTGTGGATCTTTGTTGATTTATATTTTATAATAAAGGTCTCTCTTGAGGGAGACCTGAGACCCCGGAAAGCACCGACCTTTAAAGAAAGAAAAGGAGACAGCCTGGGGGACGACAACAGTTTATTCCTCTGGCACTATTGGACAATCACAAAGGGAAGAAGCAAGGCTTCTATACATGTAGGAAAGCAGCTTAGTTATTCTGGCTATCGTCTTTCTGATTTTCACCTCTGATGATAACCAGTGACTTTAAGTGACTCACAAAAGCTACAGAAGAATTCACAGGTCCCCTGTTTCCATTCACCAATCCTGTACATCAAAGAGCACACCGAGCACACCGCAGCCCTCTTCTTATCAGATAGTATCAAGACAGCAGGACGACTTTAGCCAAAAATGAAGCCCACCGGCCCACCATAAACATCACAAATGTGCATAGGGAGTCCTATCTCTCTCACCACCCATAGAGTCATTGGCTTGCAGTCCTCTGATCCTGGAAAATGGTAAATAAGAAAACTAGGAAAACCTGTTTTTCTCCTGTGAGACTTTTACAAGGTCTCAAAGTTTTCTGGCATTCTTTTAACAAACAGACTTGTGGAATTTCCCAGAAATGACTTAATTCTCTTAGTTAACAAACTTCTTGTGATCTATTCTTACAATTAGATAGCTGAATTCTACCATTTCTCACAGATCTTGCTGTATTAGTAAATTTTTCTCATCTTGAAATCTGATTTTTGTGTCATTCACAGCTTTCGGAAAGGTGGCAGAATGAAAGGGACACTTTCCAAGTATGTAATTTAGTAGTACTAGGGACGTCTCATGAAAGATTAGCAAGAAATGTATGCTACTTGGCAGCATGGCTTTTTTAGAGTTCAGAATATAGTACTGCTATCTGAGTTTCCCCATACCCTACTTTTTCCTGTCTGTTTGTAAAACCTAAAATGACAGCTAAAGTAACACTTCCTAAGCAAAATGTTCCGAGGATTTATGTGTTTGTTTTATGAATATTCTTCCAGCAGTGAGCATTCAAATTTGTTTACTTTGACATATGATTGATTTTTTTCTCTAATATTAGGCTGCAAGCAATATTAGAGAATGAAAGGAGTAACACGATTATGGATGATGTTGTTTGGCCTACTTTTATGACACAAATCATTTATCAAAGTCTTGAAGAAATTTGTCTTATGACCGAAAGTTGTCAAATTGTTAACATCTTTCTTTAAAACATTTATTAGTTAACATTTTCTACGTATCTACAAAGTGATACTTGGCATAATAAATATACATTTTAATATGAATGAAAACTTTTATGAATCATAGGAATGAATAAGCTGTTATTAACAGTAAGTGTACAATTGTTAATTACATTATCGATAATGGATTTGATGATAAAATGATGGGCTGTTCTGGTCATTGTTTTCCATAAGAGAAGGTAGGAAAGGTAAGCTCTAGGGGATCAAGACAGTGTTTCAGTTGCCTTCATTTCTTTTCATCATTTAGTACAGTGCTTGACAGCAGGAAGATTCTCAATATGTAATTTTTGATCTTTAGTTTTTTTGAAGGAAAAAATGTCAATGGTAGGATACTGGGCCAAGGGATCCTTGCAGCCATGATAATGCTTTGTGTAATAAGCTGCAGTGTTTTCCTTCTGATATGAATACTACTGCCTTTTCAGAACAATAAAGGAGACCCTTACTGATACATAGACTAAGACAATCAAATCCTTATAATCAATTAGTTACCAAATATGCATTAAAGACTTTGTTACTGTTATTCTATGATTTCCAGATGGTCTTATTTATTGTTTACTGATAAATTCATTAATCTTCTTTACTTATTCATGGAATATCTTGGGCTTCAATTGTATTCCTTAGGCCAGCCAACAATCCACCTCTTTCTTTCCCTCCCTCCTCCCTCCTTCCCTCCTTCCCTCCCTCCCTTCCTCCCTTCCTTTTTTCCTCTCTTCCTTCCGTATCTTCCTTTCTATTCTTCTTTTCTTTTTACAGTTGATTAATTTACATCTATAATTTTGTGTGGCTTCTTAGTTTGAGTTAAATTCTAAATATCTACTCTTTCCTTTTAAAATCTACATACAAGGTAGTTCTTTAGTTAACAGCTTTAACTTTTTTTGTAGCTTTAGTAGGCACAATGTTGGCTTTGAGAGGGCCCTTAAATATATAACCTTTAAAGTGGTTTTTTGTTTCTTTGTTTTGTTTTGTTTTTTTCTGCAAGTAATGGTTTGGAGAAGTTGGTGATGATGTGATTCATCCTAGGCTGCCTTGGAGTAATAGTTAGAAACAACCATAAAACAAATGTGTGCATTTACCTAGAAGACATAGTGATCTTCCAAGATGTGTGCAGAGCCTTATGCAGATGCTGTTATAAGAAACAGTGAGTCAGTACAAAGTGTGTGTCCCTGCAGTCTAAGAAACTGTTCAACCAAAGACTGAACTTCTAAATTGGTATTTACCATATGATAAAATGTGTGTTGTTAAAGATCAGAGTTATTTTTCATTCTTAATGAAGTACCATTTGAATAAAATAAGAAAGACATTTATACACATGAGTTTCTGATTATTGTAGTTGATAACTTGATAGGATAGATTTAACCAAGTATAAGATTATGTCCTGATAAGAACATCTCTGCCACACTTTTTTAGATGTGTAACATAATAATCACTATCCTTCATTGTGTTTCTATTATGGCCAGGCAGGTTGCACATATTTAATTGAAGAAACAAAGTACTATAGAGATTATGAACATGGTCTGTAAGCTGGATGTGAATTCAAATTCCACTAGTTGCATTTATTATTGGTGTGGGATATTATGAAGTTTTGTGAGCATAGGTTTCCTGGTCTATAATAATCTGATAAAAGTACTACCAAATTATTGTGAGATTTATATAACCTGTGAAACTATACATTTATATGCAAACTAACATATGTGTATATATTATGCATGTGCAGCATATTTTATATATAATAGTTCATATTGTTTTCTCTCAATTCTCTTTTTATCAAATGCCAGGAAGTTACTCTCCCAGAGTTGTAAAATTTGGCTAAGGACATCAATGGAGTTGCTGGGACTCAAGCCCAGTTCTCTTGGATTCAGAAGCTATACTGGTCCAAGACACCATGTTACCCTGAATTACAGTCCCTTGTTCCCAGGCAGCAGGGTTAACAAGTCAGTGAGCTGATGCTGAGAGTTCTTTTCAGTTTTTTCCCAAATGCCTCAGTGTATTCTTTTTCCAAAAATCTATACTTATTTTCATCCAGGCAGGTCAGTGTTATGCTCCAAATTAGCCTACATTCTTAGCCTATAAACCTGATTTCTAACTAAGAAAAAAGTTATCACACAGCCATAAAGGGAAGCTACATAAGTTTTTGTTGAAGGTTATTCATTCCTTAGGGGGAAAATGTATGAATTTGATTCCCTGAATTGTATTTAGGTCTTTTCAGGCTGATTTTTAGAGAAAGAAGGAAATACTATTGTATTTTTTTGCTAAGAGAAGCTTATTTATGCCTAAATCCTCTCATCATCTCTTCAATTCCAAACTTTGAAGTTTTAAATCAATTACTTAGTGTAATTTTTGCTAAATTCAGTAATTTTTGCTAAAATATTCTAAGTACTTAAGTTTCTAAATGATTTACTTTTCAATAAGAATTACTTTATAATTATATATGATTACAGGTTATTACAGTAATATATCATATTCGTTTGTGATTTATGGATCTTCTTTGGCATGAAAGAGATGGAATTACATATAGAAAGTGTCCTAAGTATACCCAAGAATGAATTTCTTAAATAAAATCCATCTAGTTTCCAACGAAGGAAAAACCCCCCACTATTTTTTAAAAAACTGATTACCTGAGTATACTGAAAATTTTAAGTATATATAACAAATACCATCAATCTCTCTCTGTACTTATCAATAATCTATAAGTATACACGTATACACAAAAAGGCACACTGAGATACACTGGTATCTGAAATACTTGTTTCTAAAGAAAACAGAATCTTATTTTCAAAATTGTTGAAAAATTAAGGAGTATTATTATTTAGCTCTGCTACAATAAGGTATAATAATTCATGACTGTGGAAGGATTTTAAAAGTAGACAAATTAATAATCAAATTAATAATAAATGCTGGCATTTGCAACTTGCAAATAATTATAAGGAGTTTGATCTTTTCACTATGAACCACTCAGTTATTACAGCCCAAAGGGAGAACTATTATTATTTCTAAGACTTTACTTTTCATTTGCAGTAGTATAGCTATGAAGATTATTTAAAATCCTATTCTTACCTTATAAACCTGCCTATCTAATGCTATCCAGTGAGCAGTGCAACATATTTCCCTTAATAAACATTTACAAAAGTCAGTGACATGAAAATGTAACACAAATGGAAAACAAACTCCCTTCATGGTTATAATAATTCTTCTTTGCTTATATTCTAGCACACAAATCAACTTCACAGTGGCTATTGATTTTACAGCATCAAATGGTAAGTGATATGACTATTCCCTGGTAAATATTGTCCCCAATTAAGTAAAAAAAATTATTTTCATGAAGGTTGAAAATTTTTATTCCTACCTTTACATATTTCTGAACTATTTCATTAAAAATTGACCTAATGTTTTTTCTTTTCAATGTCACAAATAGTGGAGATATGAAAAAAGACTACAAGAAGTAAAACAAAAGTACATAATAGATATATTAAATGTTGAAATATTACCATTTTTACTTCATATGTATTTTAAAAGAATGTAAATTTTAGATATAATTCAAACTACTGTATTGTGTATGTCTGCATTATTCTTTTATTTTCTATGTATAACTACACTACTGAAATGTGTCTTATATAATCATTGTTTTATAGTACTTTTGTGTACTCATCTGCATAAATGGATTTCAACAGTTCGTGTACCTTACATAAATTAATTTGTACACAATCATTTTTTATTTTTTTAAATTTTAGTTTATTAGTATATGTGTATAGTACATAATGTTTACACCCCTTGTAGGAAGTTGTTACATGTGCATAACACATCTGAATTCCTTTTTCATCCTTTTCCCTTCTCTCCCTTCCCCTCCATCTCTGGATCCCCTTCCTCTTTGAAAAAGATCTATCTCCCTACTCCCTGTTATCCATCTTTTACTTATCTGTTTATTTTTACTCTCACTTTCTCATATAAAAGAAACAAAGTGATATTTAAGCTTGTGTGTCTGATTTATTTCACTTAACATTGTGGTCTCAAGGTTAATCTATTGTCCTACAAATGACTCAAGTTTATCTTTTTTATGGCAGAGTAGTACTCCATTGTGTATAAATACCACATTTTCCTTATCTCTTCATCTGTTGATGGGCAGCCAGATAGAGTGCTTCCAAGATTTAGCTATTATGAGTTGTACTGCTATAAACATGGGTATGCTTAGATCACTGTAACATGATGACGTCTTTAACTCTTTCGGAAAGATACCTAGAAGGGGAATAGCTAGGTCAAATGGAATTTCTAGTTTTAGTTTTTTGAAGAATCTCCATAATGATTTCCATAGTAGTTATACTAGTTTACTTTCCCACCAACAGTGGCAGTGGAAAGGGTTCCTTTTATTTCTGTGCAGCCTTTCAGTTATCTTGCAGAATTAGTAGCTTGGTGTGGTGACACGTACCTGTAATCCCAGCAGTATGAGAGGCTGGAGCAGGAAGATCACAGGTTGAAGCCTAGCCTGGGTAACTAAGTGACTCAAGGAGAACCTGTCTCAAAATTTTAAAAAAAAGAAAGAGCTGGGGATGTATCTCAGTGCAAAGGCCCTGGGTTCAATCCCTAGTACCACAAAAATAGAAATATTCACATTATCACACTTGTATCTAATTCATTAAAAAGGACTGGCATATAATATTCTATATATGGGTATTCATAATTCATATATCAGGGTCTGGGATTTAGCTCAGGTTCTGCCCCCTGCCTCGAAAGTGCAAGGTCCTGAGTTCGATCCCCAGTACCAAAAATAAACAAACAAACATAATTCATATATCCAACATTTTAAGGAGGAAAATTTGTAGATGTTTAATTTTATTTTGAGCCAACTTTGTTTCAAATATGTCAACTGTATGAAATCAGTTCTTAGATATTAGAAGGTATGATATTCTCTCAAGCTGGGCAGCAGCAGCAAGTCCTAAAACCTAGTCAGCTATGGGATGGCAAGAGTAAACAACTCAGACTCTGTAGTTTACTGGGTTGCTAGCCTATAGTGTCCAGTAGGTGTGTGCATTAAGTTCGTTTTTTATTTATGATATTTTCAACTGAAGATAGGTTTATTGGGATATAACTCCATTTTAGATTGAAGAGCATTCTGTAGGCATTTTGTTTTTATTTTTAAATTACAGTACTCTTGTACTTGTGTATCTCAAATTATATTTCCTTTAGTTCACATTTCTCTCACATTTATGCACAGTTCACAAAATAATAGAATTTTTAGGGAAGAAAGATCCATAGAGATCACTAAAGGCAAACTTCCTCTTATACAAATGAAGATGAGATCCAGAATGAACGTGAGATCTAGAAAATCTGTTTACTAATAAATACATCTTGACATCTTAGTGCTAGAGCTGGAACTGCAAATGAGGAGACTGAACTGTAATTCAGCACACTTGTCATTCTATCTTAAGTATATTCCCTAACATTATAGTTTCAAATGAATGATTTTATAGTGTTTCATTCAGTAAACATCAAAAGATAGAGATAAAGTGCAACTTGTTTTAAAAACTAGCTTCGGTTCACTAATTAATTTTAGAACAATTATAAAAAGTGAAAATCTAAACTAGAAAAATCCAAGGTACTGAAATTTATTTAGGGGCAAAGAAACAGTATGAATGGTTCCACAATAAGAAAATCAATTGGTAATTAAGAGAAACAAACAAAATCCCCAAAATATTACTTTCAAAATTTGTCTGTCTAAGCTAAGGCCCAGATAGTTTCACTGATGAGTTCTACCAAATATTTAAAGAATAACTAATACCAATTCTTCACAATCTCTTGCAAAAAGTAGAAGACGGCATATTTATCATTTAAGGCCATTATTTGCTAACAAAACCAGAAAAAGACATTTTCTAAAGAAAAAATAGTAAACGTGTTTTATAGATATAAAGGAAAACAATCTTCAACAAAATAGTAGCAAATTGTATTCAGAAACATATAAAGATAACTATATCATCTGATATAAGAGAGTTTCTCCCAGCAAAATTAATTCAGTATTCAAAAATCAAAGAAGGGAAAGGAAAAATTATGAGAAAAGAAAAAAATGGAAACAAAATCTTTGTAAATAGGGAAGGGAGCACAGGTGATGGGGAAAAGATAAGAACCAAGATACATCATGTGCAGGTACAAGCACCCAATGATAAATGTAAACATATTGTATACCTAAAATGTACCAATAAAAGAATTTAAGCAAAAAAAATCAAATAATGTAATACACCTTACCAGTAGAAGAAAACACAAAAGCCATATGACAATGCCAACTGATGGAGAAAAAGCATTTGGCAAAGTCCAGCATGTGTTCATGATAAAGAATGCTCAAAAAGTTAGAAATAGAGTCTTTCTAACCTTATAAAGGGAATCTATGAAAAGCCCAGAGCTAATGTCACACTTAGTGGTGGTGAAAAGCGGAAAGCTTTTGCCTGAGATGTGGTGTAAGCCAAGGATGCCTGTCTTCTCTCACATCGTCTAGTTAATACTGTGTTAAAGATTGTAACCTCAAAAGTAGGCAAGAGAAAAAATTAAATATCTGGATTGGAAAGGACAGAGTGAAACTCTTTTCTACTGCAGGTAACAGGATCATGTACATAGAAAATCCTAAAGAATCTGCTAAAAGTCTATTACAACTAATACATACATTTAGCAAGGTTGCATGATAGAAGATAAATTATATATTTGTACATAAATCAGTTATTTTTCTATATAATTCTAAGAAACTGTTTCAAAATGAAATTAAGAAAATTCCATTTATAATAATATTGAAAGGAATGATATAACCAGGAATACATTTAACAAAATCATTATGAAATCATTCTCTGACAACTATACTTCGAAAACAATTGGCAATAGAAATTTCACTATCTAAATAAATAGAAAATATATGCCATGTTTGTGGATTAGCATATCCAACATTGTTAAAATGGCAGTATTCCTCAAAATAATTTTGACAGTGCTATCTTTATCAAAATCTGAAAGGCCTTTTTTTAAAAGATGGAAAAATCATTTGGAAATCCATGTGGAATTGCAAGGGATCCAGAAGAACCAAAGAAATCTTGAATAAGAACAATAAAGTAGGAAGTCACATTTTTAATATTTAAAATTTTCTGCAAACCAACAATAATCAAAACAGTGGGGGTACTGGTGTAAATTCAGATATATAGATCAGTGAAGTGGAATTAAGATTACTGAAAAAAAAATGTCCAAGATAAACTATCAAGAAGAGCATTAGGACAATTCAGTGTGGGATAGAATAATCTTTTCAACAAGCAATGCTGGAACAGCTGGGTAGCTACAGGCAGGAGAATGGAATTAGACTCTTACCTCACATCATATACCAAAATTAATCCAAAATGGAACACAGGCCTACAGGTAAGAACTACTGCTATGAAAACTCTCAGAAGAAAGTATAAAGATGTGCCTTCATGACATTGGATGTGGCACTTGATTCTTATTTTGACACCAATATCATGGCTATAATAGTAAAAATTGAAACATGTTTCAATGGACACTACCAAGAAGTGAAAGGAAGCTCAGTGTGGCGACATATTCCTGTAATCCCAGCACTCTGGGAGGCTGAGGCAGAAAGACCACAAGTTCAATTTTAGCCTGGGCAACTTAGCAAGATCCTGTCTCAATGAAAAGAGAGGGTGGGATGAGGATGTAGCTCAGTGGTACTGAGTTCAATCCAGGAAGAAAGGAAGAAGAAATATAAAGTGAAAAGTCCCCAAATGGACAAAGTACTTGCAAAGCATATAGCCCACTAGATACTTGTATCTAGAATAAGTAAAGGACTTATATAACTCAATAAAAAGACAACTAAATTGTACAAAAATAGGCAAAGGATCTGAATAAAATTTCTGCACATAAGATATATAGATAGCCAATAAGTTCATGAAAAGATTCTAACATACATAGACTTTAGGAAATGGAAATCCAAACTCTAATGAGATCGGATTTCACACCAATTGGGGTGGCTATAATTAATCAGATAACAAATGTTGGTGAAGATGTGGAGAAGTAAAAACCCTTATAATATTGTGGATGGGAATGTAAATGGTATGGTCTCTTTTGAAAATGCTTTGTTTTAGTATAATCCCATTTGTTGATTAAAAAGCTTCTGAACAGCAATGAAACAAACAGCAGAGTGAAGAGACAGCCTACAAAATAGGAAACATTTTCTTGCCAGCTATTCTTTGCACAGAGGATTAATATCTAAAATATATAAAGAACTCAAAAATTAGATCCCCAAAATAAAATATCTAATCAAAAAATGGACAGCCGAAATGAATGCACACTTCTCAGAAGAAGTACAAATGGCCAATAAATAACATTTAAAATGTTCGACAATGCTGCCCATTGAAATAAAGTTACTTAAAAAAAAAGCACTGAGATGTCATCTTACTCAAGAAAGAGTGACCATCGTGAAGAAATCAGAAAATAACAAATCCTCACTAGGATGTGTGTGTGTGTGTGGCAGGGGAGGGGCTCTTCTACGTTCTTGGTGAGAATGTAAACTGGTACAGCCACAATGGAATTTAGTATGGAGATTCTTCACAAAACTAAACGTAGAAATTCCATTTGATCCAGCTATTCCTTTACTAGGTATCTTCTTGAAAGAGTAAAAGTCATCATATTACAGGGATACATGAATACCCATGTTTATAGCAGCACAATTTATAATAGCTAAATCTTTAAAACAGACTATATGACCATCAATGGATGAATGAATAAAGAAAATGTGGTATTTATACACAATGGAGTACACTTGGCCATAAAGAAAGATAAGCTTGAGTCATTCATAGGTAAATTGGTGCAACTTGAGAACATAATGTTAAGTGAAATAATTCAGACAAGCTTAAATATCAAATGCTTTCTCTTATCTGAGAAACTCATATATATATACACATATATAAATATATATATAGAGAGAGAGAGAGAGAGCATGAGAGAGCAAAATCAAAAACAGATAAATAGGAAATAGATCTTTTTCCAGATCAATCAGAAACAAGAGATAGAGGGAGAAGGGATGCAGGGGAGGGAAAGGATGGGAAAAAAGTAATTGAAGGGAAAATATGAAAATCAAGCTTTGGCAAATGGGAAGAAGACAGAGTTGGAACAGCAGGGAGGGGCGGGGGACGGGATTAAAAAAAGAATTAAGGTATGTTATATACATGGACCGGCTCCCCATGATAAATATAATCATTATGTACTGCACATACATGCTAATAAAAAAAGATGTTAACATTTACTCATTGGTAAATACAAAATTACCATATGACCCAGGAATTTCTCTAAGTATATGCTCAAGGGAAATGAAAACATGGGTAGAAAAACATGCCCATGAATGTAGCAGCATAACAGCCAACATGGGGAAAGAGCTAACTATCCATCAGCTGATAAGTAGATAAACAGAATGCAGTACATCCATACAGTGGGATACTCTTCCACAATCCTCAGGAATGAAGTACTGATACAGAGTACAGCCTAGATGAACCTTGAAATTCAGACCACATAGTAGGTGATTTATGTGAAATGTTCAGGTTAGGAAAACTAATAATGACACAAAGTAGATGAGTCATAGTATGGGGTTGGGGGTGAAAGATAAGGGGGAGGGTGATAGCTAATGAGTACAGGGTTTTTTTGAGGTGATAAAAGTGTTCTAAAATTGACTAGTGAAGGTTGCACAATTCTGTGAATATTCTGTGCTGAGAATCATAGAACTGTGTGAGCAATTTGTAAATTAATGAATTATGTTTCAAAAAGCATGAAAAAAGAATCTATTCAAACCCTATTTTCTTATGATAGAATAGTACATCTCTAAAAGGTAATCCTATTTAAGTTTTATAATATTCTGAGATTAAAATACTACAAGAAACCTTAAGTAAAGAATTACAGCTAAGAGCAAGGACAATAAAATCTGACTGCTTAGACTTATATTCTTGTTTTGCCAGTTATTATTCTGTATGATTTGGAGCAAGTAATTTAATCTGCAAAATAGGTATAACAAAATTACTATGTCATAGGTTGGCTAGAAAGCATAAGTGAGATATAAAGATGGAAGATGTTCAATATATGTTAGATTTTCTATTCTTATAAGTAGTATTTCTACTAGTTAGGGCCTAATCTTAGCAACCTACTGGAATTTTATTGTTCATAACCATTGGTGTAGAGACAGAGGAAGGACAAATATGGTCACAGTCTCAAGGACGTGGCATTTTTAATTACTAAATTTTGTAGTGTAGAACACAAGAACCATAGCAGGATGAAAGGAAAGACAATCACAGCCTGCATAAACAAGGGAAGTTGTTTGGTCCATTTGAGACATGAGCTGTAGGAGAAAGTGAATTTCAGGACAAGGTGGCAACTTGAACGTATCAATAGTGTCCAGTAACTGGATAGGCCTGGGTGAAATTCTGGAGAGAAATAGGCAACACCTTTAGATGGTAGGGCAGGCTCCTCCTATGTATGGTAAGTAAGATAAGACATGCTGCGGTATTAATGGTACTTTTTTTTTTTGGTACCAGGGATTGAACTTCGGTTCTTGCGCTTGTGCTTGCGCAGCGAACAGCGAAACCACTGAGCTAAATCGCCGACCCTATACTTTTAAAAATTATTTTCTGAGTGGTACTCCATTTTATAAAAAAAAACACATCTTCTTTATCCAGTCTCCAGTTGATGGGCATTTGGGCTGTTTCCAAGTTTTAGCTATCACAAACTGTGCTGCTATGAACATAGGCGCACATATATCAACTGTGGTATGATTCTTTTACCAATAAAAGAATTTAACACACACCAAAAAAAAGGAACTAGGAAATTTCTACATAAAAAAAAAAAATTTTCTTTTTCAGTGGTTTAGTTATTTTCATTTGCCAAATTACCACCATTGGGTAACAATGCTTCTTATGTTTGAGAGTTGTGCTAAATAATCAGTAATGGAATTTCTGATATTTGATCAAGTGGCAAAGTCCCTACTTTGGAGGGAAGTACCAAGGAAAATGTGTACTGGATAAATAAAAAAGACCAGAATGACTTTATGAAAACAGAGATGAGAAACAGAACTCAGTGGCTCTGATACAAGATTCTGTGGGTTGTAAGTGGTGAGTGAAGTGGGTGAGGAAGGGCAGGGACCCTGGCAGGGGTGTGGTCCCTGTGACGAGGCCATCTGTGTTTGCTGTAGCCAGTGGGTGTAGTGAGCCGGAAATGGGGTGCTCCCATCTAAGCTTCCAATGCTTGCTCTCTGCAGAGAGAGGGAGATGGGGTGTGGTCTGTTGTCTTTCTTGATGATTTTATTTCAGAAGAATGAATCCCAGCCTTTGAGAACAATATTCCTTGGTAATAGAGGTTTACTTCTGAAAGGGAAAGATGAAGGGAATTAAGTGACATAGCAAGACCCTATCTCAAAAGTAAACAAGGGCTGGGACTGTAGGTCAGTATAAAGTCCCCAAGTTCAATCCCCAGTACAGCCAAAAAATAAGTAAATAAATAAAATTGAAAAAAATGAAATTAAAATTTCAATTTTGATAAAGTAAATGCTTTAAGAAAAACAAGGTTAGAGTCAGGCAGAAAAGTTAAAGTTGAGGTGAACATTAAGGACGTGTTGGTCAGAAGACACTTTTTAAGAAATTTTGTCCTATGGAATCAGCACTTGATTGATATGAAATGTATGTGTGCCATGAATTATTTTTAGGACAAAAATGTTCTGTTGTAATTATATGTAGGATAAACTAAAGAGAGATCATTCCTTTATTTTCAAAGTTCTTACATATTATTTTTTTCTCTTATCAGAAGAAAAACTGTGCCCTGTGGCTTTGCTTCTTCAGACCATATTTTAATGTGGAATTGAGTGTTGCATGCTAATATAAGTTGCATTTAACTTTCCATTTCCACTAAAAAAATTAAATGGACTTTCTGGCTGTACTGTTAATCATGGTAACTGAATGTGAATCTCAATGTGTTTGAGCTGATAGGACATGTATGACATTCTCAATTTTATCTCCATTCAAATACAACATTCTACATAGAATACTCATTTTAGTAATGTAGGACATTGTGGGTGACTCAGAAAACTAACAGTAGTAGGTAATCTTACAGTTCTATGGTACTTTATTATTTTTAATCACTTTTGAACACATAATCTTATTTTATCTTTCCAATAACGACTATGCTAGAGTTTATTTTACAGATGTTTTCCTGAAAGAGTTGAGACTTCACTCTTGGTTTGCCGCTCCTAGTTTAATGTCTAGTGATCAAATCTAAATAATATTTTCCAATCTAGATAATCAGCTTGAGTTTGAAAATTGCTATGCTTTCCTTTTTAAAGTGATAAATTGGAATATTTCTCAAATATTCATTTCACATTTGAATACAGCATTAGGAAGGCCTTGTAATTATTGAACACCATTAAATTGGTTGGGTCTTCTGATTGTCAGCATTAGAATTAATGCTGACATGTGATTTTAAAAAAACAGAGATATTTTCAAAATGAAATAAGACTAGCCAAATCTTATTTTGTATTCTGCTAGAATGGCAACTCAAAAATATCCTATGAGATTGATAATAAGGAATTACTTCTGGAAAATTCTGCATAGCTTTGGCATTTCTTTGAGAAACTTTCTCTGGGTATATTATAGTAAATATTTACATGTTGTTAAATATCCAGAAAGAAGCTATGAGAAACACTGTGGATGTAGGTAGAAAAACATAATTGTTGAAAATTTCATTCTGAAATAAACATCAAAACAGTGTCGTAAAAAGAGCCTTAACCTGATTGTTTGCATGTTAAATATTTTTCCTGCCGCCAGGCAACCCTGCCCAGCCTACATCTCTCCATTACATGAATCCTTACCAGCTGAATGCCTATGGCATGGCACTGAAAGCCGTGGGAGAGATCGTCCAGGATTATGACAGTGATAAGATGTTCCCAGCTCTGGGTTTTGGTGCAAAACTGCCTCCAGATGGAAGGATATCTCATGAATTTGCTTTGGTAAGGATACATCAAAAAGATTTGATATTGAAAAAAATATGTTGTGTATTTTAATACTCATGTTTTCTTATTCTTTACCCTTTTATGTAGCAAAGCTTGGTGACCATAGACTCAGCTCACTTTTAGTAATTATCCATAAATCTGCCTGAGTGCATGCAGTTTATAAGTATGCAGTCTTTTCTGGTTATCAATTGCTGTATAACAAATGTCCCTAAAACTTAGCGGTAGACAACCACGTCATTCCATTATGCTCCTGACTTATGGGTCAGGAAGCACGCACGTGACTTGTGCTCCAGCAGCATCTAATGGGAGAAGCACATTTCTCCTTTTCAGCATCTGAGGCCTCCTCTGTGGCCTCGAATGGGAAGAGGTGGCTGGGATGGTTGGACCAGGGTCGTATCTCTAGGTCCTCTCCATGTCGTGTCATCTGGAACTAGCCTGTTCCCTAAGCTGGCATCTTCATGTCTAGGGCCTGACCTGGGGTGGCTGAGATGGTTGGGGCTACCTGGATGTCCCTCTCTTGTCACATGCTTCTGTCCGTGTGGTCCTCCTGGGCTTCCTCCTGGAGTGGCGGGCTCGGCATCATCAGACTTCCTACATGGCAGCCAGCTTTCCCAGGATGAGTATTTTTAAGTCTGAGACAGAAATGCCAACACTGTTTAGACACAAGTGTAGAAATGGCAAAATGTTATTTCTGCCACATTCTGTTGGTTCTATAAGTTGCTAAGGGCAGCCCGAGCTCAAGGTAGGGGAATTAATTTTCTTTTAAGTGGAAGGAATATCAAAGAGTATATGGGTATTCTTAATCTTCTCTTTCCTTATGCCTAAGAAAAAGAATGATTGTTTTAAAGTAAATTAGGTTTATTAATTTTCTTTGCTAATATTTCTTTGCCCCTTGTGTGTTTCCCTTTCTCTTTCCCACTAATTCTCTTATCATTTTTACCTTAATCTGTTCTTTAACTACTTATATGGTAGAGATTACTACGATTTTAATGTGTCCACTCCAAAATTCTAGTAATGCCCATGTGATAGCATTAAGAAGCAGGGCATGTAGAAGGTAATTAGGCCACAAGGTCACTTCCCTCGTAAATGGGCTTGAGGCCCTTATCAAAGATGCTTTACATGGTGCTTGTCCATCTGCCGTAAGCAGCCACAGCACTCTGCCTACCTGGAAAATTCAGCCTCACCAGACCACTGAACCTGCTGGAACCACGTTTGTGTTGTTTAGAAATTATCCAGTCTCATACATGTTCTTACAGCAGCACAACACACATAAAGAGATCATAACATTTTAAATCTATGAGAAACAGTCTGCCAAATCGATGATGGAAACAGCAATTATTATATCAGTGTTGACGATAATTTCTCAACTTTAGTACTGTTAGCTTTTTTTTTCAAAATACTTTTGTTTGCTTGTGTAAGATAGATCAGGGGTAAGTGATGTTCTGTGATATAGTATTAGATACACAATAATTACTGAGTTTTGAGATACATACTTTAGACTACCTTATATAATCTTCACAAAATTTCTGTCTGGCAGGTACATTATGGTGGACACACTGAACCACTAACACTGTCCATGGTGAGCAGGCGGCTTCCAGGAGTTCTATAACTCCACTAAGAAGCCCGAGATTGACTAGAGTTCCAAAGGACAGGACTTGAACCCAGATCAGACTTATTTTTGGGTCTGTGCTCTTAAACACTGTTTATTAAACTATGTCTTATAAAGGCAAGAGTAATCCTATCACTCGGATACATGCTTTAGCAATTCAAATACATATACATGGATATGTATTTCAAGATGCTTTTATAGGAATATATTTCCTCTTTCTCAAAGATATTTTAGGAGTGCTTTTACTTCTTTCTTCCTATACTTATTCTTGCTTTTCTATTCCATCACCCACACAATTTCAGGAAAGGTTGCCGGAGGGCTTAATTCTTTCTTCCATGAAATACCTCACATGTCACACTCCCAATGTCACATAAAAATGAGTATCTGTTGGGATTTGGTTGTGTCTTAAAGAATTAAAATCTCCCAGAAACTTATAAAAGCATGAAAATCACTGATGTGATCCTCAATCTTAAGTGCCTCAGGAAAAAGGTCATGAGTTATTTTAATGCTTTGGAAAAGAAATAATTGTGTTAAACTAAATAAGGTTTATTAATTTTCCTTCTACATATTTCTTCTCACCTTTGTGTATAATCTTTTTCTTTTCTTTCTCCCTCTACCTTTTCCTTTCCTGCTTTTTTTCTACCCCCATATTCATTCCTTGAGGCCAAACCTATAACATAACAACTGCTGAGGAAGGATTTGTTATTATTTGCACCTTAACTGCTCTGAAAACTCAATTCATAGACCTGTGAGTCTATGGAAAAGTCTCCCAAATTGCTGAGGAAACAATGGCTGTGTTGATCATGTTAAGGATATCTTAATTTAACTGGGAAAGGGAGTATATATCTATAACCCCAGACCTCTAGGAGGCTGAGATAGGAGGATAGCAAGTTTGAGCCTACCCTGGCCAATTTAGTGACTTGAAGAGACCAACTCGTTCTCAAAACCAAAGAATAGAAAAAGGGCCAGGAATGTAACTCAGTGGGCAAACCCTGTGTTCAATCCCCAGTATCAACACACATATCAACAAACACACAGTTCAAAAAAAGTTTAAACTTTAGTATCGCCAAATTATATTGCTTTAATTTTTCAAAGAACTTTTATTTTCTTAGAAAATTAGGACAAATAAGGGATAAGTAAGCCTTTAGTGAAATAATATTTGATTTAATGCCTGCTAAGGTATTTTGTTACATTCATCATAAACACTACAACATACATGTATAGATACTGACAATGAGAAGTATAAAAATGTGAGTCACAAGTCAGGCTGATAATAAACAACCTGCATTAACAAGCCCTCATATTCCCATGGTAAGGGCATCTGATACGAGTTCACTGCCATTAGTCTTCTCATCGAATTAGAATATTTTTAGATATCAAAGGAGGCATATTTGAAAATTAAATAATCTTTAAAAAATTAGCTTTTTTAAAGAAGATGTTGAAATTGAGATTTGCTTTATCAAAAGAGTCTCAGTAAACTCAGTCTTTCATGTGAGACATGTACAAGAACAGATACTATGGGAAAAGAAAGGAGATGGGGAAGTAAAGTATTTTCTGCCACTTTGACACTTCTGGTTGTAAAAACTGTGAGTCATTGCTCTCCTATCCTAATAGTCTTCAGTGGCTCCATCTGGAGCTGTACTGAACTGCAATCGTGTGGGCCTCTGGAGAGTATTTCTAAAGGGCATGGAGCTGGAGCCCCGTAAAGATGGTCTTCCACATTGATCAGCAAAATGCTACACCTCTGCAACAAGAGCTCCTTCTAAATATCTAAAAGTGCTTGCACAGTTCTCACTGATTTTGGCATTTGTAGAAATCTGTGTAATTCAGTATTTCTGTTTATGTCTTTTCTTCCAAGAAGACATAGAGAATTGAATAACCAAGAGTCTTTAACACCATACTGTGAATAAAATAGTAGCTCAGTAGATATTTGTTCATAAAAGAAGCCACCCTCCCAACTTTTCTCCATGGTAAGCAGTCTGAGCAGGAACAGATACATTTCAGGGTAGAGCAACAACCCCTTCAAGCTTCTCTCTAGTACTTGTCAGTTTGTTAGCCCTGTGAAAAGTGCCACAGGCTATGGGAGCAACAGAAGCTATGGGATTGCTGCATGGAACTGAATCCAAATTCCAGCATAAGCTCCAGGAAAACCACAGGGAGTAAAATGGGTGAGAACTGGACACTGCTCCCCACTGAGGTCTGTGTGGTGGGATTACTTCTCTATATGCTGATGGGATAATTTTCATCACAGTTCTTTGTAAATAACAAGGGGAACTGAGCACAGCAGGTCACACCTACAAGCTCAGCACTCCAGGAGGCTGTGACTGAAGGACCACATTTGAGCCTGAGCAGCTTAGAGACTTAGTGGGACCTTGGTTCAAAATTTAAAAACGAGTGAGAAGCTGAGGATGCAGCTCAGTGTGAAGGCCCTGGGTTCAATTTTATGCCAAAGAGGGAGAGAGAGAGAGAGAGAGAGAGAGAGAGAGAGAGAGAGAAATGAAGGGAGGATGGGAGGTGTGGAGGGAGGAGCAAAGAATTAAAAGAGAATTATAAAAATTTTGTAAAGTTATAAAATAGGGTATCCACTTTGTTTTTCATTAATAAGCAATAAAATGAAGTGCACTTATTTTTTAAAACATCCAGTTTTATTTTTTGGCACCCTGACACATAAACTTTGTAACTGCCTTTGACGTCATTTTGTGACTCATCACAGCTCCACACAGGAAACTCTCATCTTGGGAGCTATACCAAATTTAAAGGAATCCTGATATAATACAGCCCATGTATTAAAAAGAAGATATGAGTAATGTTATAAAATATTCTTATCCAAAGGCTTTGAAGAAACCTTAGAACAACTTATTGTATCAGGACGGATTCAGAAATTAGTGCTTTAAAAAATACATAACAGTGGACAGAGTATCCAGTGATTATCTTTCCACTACTGCAAGAGAGAAAAAATGGTGACCTTGTTGTAATTCCAGTTCCAGAGGGATAGAGAAAATATTTTTACAGAAATACAAACTCTCAGTAAAATGTTAAAATGCTGGTTGAAAAGCAGCTCAGAACTACCCTATTTTGCACTTGTTCCCTTTTAAGGCTGATATATAATACATTTTATATGTCCAAAATCAGTAATGAGTTTTAATTTTAATTAGCTTCATACTCTATCAGGGGAAAGGAGCACCATAAAATTTTATTTAAAGAAAGGTTAAATTAGGTCAGCTCAGATTAACATTAAAAGCAACCATTTATTGCCTTGTGCTAAATGTTAAACTTTCCTTTAACATTCTAATTTCGGAAAACTCATGTAACCAATTTTACTATGTAAATTGGTCTTTTATGATTTTTATATTTTAAAGCATTATGTCATGGTTAATAAAAATGTGTGAAAAAAAGATAAAACTAAAAAACGGTATATACTGTTCTCTTCCAAATGATGAGATTGAAGTGGTTGGTAACATGTGGTTCAGTTTCCAGGACACCCAGACTTGCAAAATATTGATGATATCGGAATGTGGTTCGCATACTGTGGTTAAGAGACAGCTCTAGAATCAGACTGCCTGGGTTCAGATCTTTTGGATATCCTACTTGTGTTACCTTGGGCTAGCAAAACTCAGCTCTTCACTTTCTTCGTCTACAAAGTGGGGATAGAGACATTACTTCACCTACCTTTTTTAGGGTTGTTATATAATATATGTAAATACATTAGTGTAAAGCTTTGTGCATAGAATTTATCAAATTTTGCTTTGTTTTTTTTTTTTGTACCGGGGATCGAACTCGGGTCCTTGCGCTTGCGCAGCAGGCAGCAAAACCACTGAGCTAAATCCCCGGCCCTATCAAATTTTAATTATGAGTTGTGATTGAGTAAAAAAATACATGCTAAAATTTTTGCTAACTATGTTTATATGTAGTTACTGTCAATGTGTTTGAAAATATACCTATGACATTTTGAATATGCCACTTCCAGAGGTAGAGCTTAATTCTAACTCTTACCTTGAGTGTGGGCGACACTTATTGACTCATTTCTAATGAATGAATTGAAGTAGAAGTAATGGTGAACATCTTCTGATAACGCCTCCTAAAAGGCATTGGGGTTTTGTTCTTGCTATCTCTTGGATACCTCATTCTGGGCGAGCTGGCTGCCATGTTGTGAGACGCATTCCCATGGGGAGTCCATTTGGCCTCTTGCCTGGTGCCACATAAGTGAGTCTTCTTGGAAGTAGACCCTCCAGCCCCATCAAGCTTTCAGATGCCTGCAGCTCATCAGTATTTTGACTACAAAATCTTCACAGAATCTTTTTTACATTTTTTACTATAACTTTCTATAGAATGGCAACCCTCAAAACCCCTACTGTGATGGTATCGAAGGAGTCATGGAGGCTTATTACAGGAGTCTGAAATCTGTGCAACTCTATGGTCCAACCAACTTTGCTCCTGTAATTAACCATGTGGCAAGGTAAGTGGAGAGGAAACAAGGTATTTATTCTTCTATATGGGATGATTGTGAAAGTATACCATTATTGTTAACATGACTCCACAGATAAGCAGTTTTTTTATTATTGTGATTTTTTTCTAATTTATGTAAAGTGAGAGGAAAGATGCACTTGTCATTCTCCTGCCTTTGCCTTGCCAAGTGCTGGAATTACAGGTGTCCACCACTACTCTGGCCCCAAACCAGTTTTAACTGTGCACTTAAGTGAGCAAATGTATCAACAAGGATAGGTGGCTCTGTTTGACTTTCTTTTGTGATATTTTCCTTTGTAACAGTGAGAAAGAAGTTTTAAAGATACAGGGTATCATAACACAGTGACCTGACATCAGATTATTGTCGTTGGACTTTTATCTCCACCACAAATGTCTGTTCTCTGTATCCATTCTGCCATCAGCAAAATAGGAAGAATAACATTGCTGTCAACTCTGAGAGCTACTGTGGAAATTAAAAGAGATGAACCATGTAACAACAGTGAGAATATTTCCAGAGATGATTCATAGGCTCAGTGGTTTTATTATCACACTTACGGAAGAGATGAAATAACACATTCTATAAATTAATTCAAAAATTAGTTATGCAAAATCCAATGTAAGTTATTTTCTGAAAAATAAAAGTTAATTTTAGCTATTTGTCTCAATCCTATGAATTAATATTAGTGAAAAAATAAAAATATCCAATAGATAGAAATTGATTGATCACTCTTCCAAACTGAATATTACAGCTTCAAGACAAGTATCTCATTAAGGATAGGAAACAAATGACTGACTGTTAGGAAACAGTGAATTTTATCTAAGTCAAGTGAAGAAAATAGTGAAATTTCTATAATAACTTAAAATGATACTTGATATTTCCTTTGGTGTATTGGTTTATTGGTAAACTATACCAACAAATAAAATTTATTTCAGAATATTTGATATTATATATAAATTTTAGATTAATAAAAACTTGAAAAATAAAAAGAATTTGTAATGGTAACACCATATTTAAGTAGAAACTGAGATTAGTCATGTGATAGTTAAAACTCCATTTTATTCAAACTATGTATACATACATGATTTGCTTAATATTTTTCTTTCTACTATTACTAACAAATGAGATCTGAGAATACTGTTATAAACATTAGGTACCTTATTAAATTCACATGTGAAAGCACTTTAAAATTATTTCACTTGTTTTCCATTTGTCTTCAATATAAACTTTAATGGTAGGTAGTACATGTTTTTCTTTAGTAAGTGTGATGATTAGTGTCATGTGTCAACTTGGCCACATTATAAAACCCAGTTATTTAATCAAATACTAATCTAGGTACTGCTGTGAAAGTATTTTGTAGATATGGTTAGCATGTACAAATGACTTTAAATAAAGGAGATTCATTGAATTAGTTGAGGCCCTTACAAGAAAAAACTGGTTTCTTAGGCAAAAAGAATTCTGTTTCCAAAGTGCCAACCCGTCTGACAAATTTCACACTTGCCAGCCCCTCCAGTGACCCAGGCAAATTCCTTGAAAAGTGTTTCTGTATTTCTTTGTGTGTATCTTTCTGTTTCTCTGGAGTGCTCTAAAATAGTAGGTGTCAATCCCAATCACATTTTCCACAAGATTGACTACACATCATCATTCAAAAGTTGCTTTAGCTTCCAGGTGTACACTCATCAATCGATATGCATGGCTTTCAGATAACCCAGTTAAACAAATAAATATGGATTTCTCAGTATATGCAAAGTATTGTGCTTTCATTATCAATGTGTGCACATACATAAATATACAACTAATGACAAGGAATAATTCCTCCCTTCCATGTAGAAAAGATCTATGTGTAACAATGCAGTAGCATTAAATTTATACTATAGTGATGAACATATATGTAGAAAGATATCACAGGTCAGAAGAAGCCCTGATTCTCAGTGAGGGAGCTGCAGTATGTTTCAGGGAATGTGGGAGGAAATGGGGTTGGATGAGTGAGTGGCAGTCGGGTATGGGAAGTTCTTGAATGCTAAGCTAAGCCTTTGTGCTTAAACTTATGACAAGGCATCAACAGATGTTGAGTAGGATTTTTACGTCATTTGAAATCTTCCCTGGATAGTTGGGGAAAGAAGATTGGGAAAGCAAGAAATAAGAAGCAGGGGGTTAGGAAGCATCACTCTGCTTTTGCTAGGAGCAACCTTATTTGAGAATTAGCAAATACTGAGAAAAACAAAGATGGCAGAACACCATGTAACCTGTAGATTTAAAGTTAGTAGAAATTTACCTAGAAATTTTATAACTACAATTGTAACTTTTACAATAGAGATATACCAAGATGAAAAATACAAAATTAGCTGAGTGTGATGGCACACACCTGTAATCCCTGCATTCGGGAGGCTGATGCAGGAGGATTGCTGTGAGTTCAAGGCCAGCCTTGGTTACATAGCAAGACCATCTTGAAAAATAAAACAACAACAAAAAAAACTCAAAAATTAATTTGTAAACACTAATGAGCACATTTATATTAGCATGAATTCATGCAAAAGATGTCTTGTCAATTTTGTCTTATCTTTTTATAAAAAAGTCTTTTGTATGCTATAAGAGAATTAACTGAAAATTTATAGTGTGCATTAATATATTTTTTATTCTGTTTTATTTTATAGCCATCAATTAAAACATAGCATATATATATATAATATGTATATTTCTTATATAATCTAATGTAATAAGGTAGGATACGCTTTTCAAATGATAGGAAATGACCTCTTAGTGGATTGTGAAGTCAATTATGTGGGTCAAAATATAAACTAGCAACCAAAAAAAGAATAGCATACCATAGAAACAAAGATAAATGTGAGGTGAGAATATTATTATTTCATATTTTTTGGTGGTGCATGTACAGGGCTGAGATAGAAGATTCATATTTTAGTACAAATTGCAGATTTGAAATGTTGGGATGTTCAACTCATTTCTGTCCTTATTAATCTTTCAAAAATATTACTTGTTTCTATGGCACGTGCTTATTGGCATATTGCTGCACATTGTAAGTAAATCTAAATTTCAAACAATCTGTAATTTATTTCCAAATTAAGTGTAGTTAATAAAGAGACCACACAATAAACAAATGTATCTTTGTAAAGCATTAATTCTCTCGAAGTTAAGAAATACAAAACAAATGTGTATATATTATAAAGTAATCACTTCTCAGCCTTTTGGCTAAGATCAAGTGTATTATAAAGTAAAATGCAAAATTCTTGAGTTTTTAAAATATAACAACAAACCAGAAAAATTCCAAGTTTACTATGATCTGCTTTAGTCTATCCCCACCTCTCTTCGTGGTATGAATATAGTTTTCTCTTAGACATATATTCCAGAAAATCAAAAGAAAATCAGTTAAGCCACTTGCAGTGGAATTTTAGATGAACACATAATATTCACCTCTCTGTACTGGTTTTTAATCTGGTAGAATTTTCCATTTTAAAGAGAACAATTTGGTAAGAAAGTCATAAAAACAAAACTTTATTCAGAAACGTTTCCTCTACTATTTCTAGCTTTCCATTAATCACCTGAAATATAAAACTATGTTTCTGAATTATGGTTGATAAGAAATGGTTTTTAAAGTAGTGGCTAAATATTAATAACTGAATTCATGAAGGCAATTGCTAGATTTCTTTTCTTAACAAAAAGTCAAGTAGGAGAGTAAGTTTCTCTCTGCTTTGGAATATTTTCCATTGGTTGTATTACCATCAATGAATACAGATTCTTTGAGGTCCAGGACAAGTTGTTCAGTACCACAGAATCTTTCTGACTGTACATTGTGGCATTATTCCAACCCTCTCTTCACAAGCATGAGTAAACACAGCACTTCACTGTATTCTCTTCTTCATTCTCTAGAATTGCCACTTTATAACTTTTAGTTCTTCATATGGTTGCTAATTCTGCTAAGAAATAAGTTGTGCTCTGAGATGATTTCCTATGTGTCTGTCTCCACCCTATCCAAACAGGATCTCTTTGGTCCTTCAGGAGGGAAGCTATTTTATTGGCTAATCAATGGAAATTTTCTTGAATCTGTTTCTATCTGATCCGGTCGATAATACTTTAGAAATGTAGGCCAAGGGCTTATTTACTATCTTTTCTCATAAAAACACCAGAGTGTTTACTCATCACTGGACATGAACTACATAGCAATCATTTACAAAATTCATGAAATTTATCCTGTTGACAGTATCTAGATACCTGAAATATAGAACATCATAGGAACAGAAGAAATATAATATACAACATATTCATAAAATCTTTCTCTAAATTATCAAGTTCTATTTGGTGAAAATTCTTAGAAATTCTTGAGGCACTAGAATATGTTATGATGATCCATAATTTACTTGATTATAATTCTCACTTCCCATCTTATATCAAACACATATTAAGAACTTAAGCTGAACACAGTGGCCCACACCTGTAATCCCCAGTATTCAGGGGACTGAGGCAGAAGGAACACAAGTTTGAGGCTCATCTGGACAACTAAGCAAGACCTTGTCTCAAAATTTAAAAAGTAAAAAGGGTTAGCTGGAGATATAGCTCATTGTGAAAACCCTAAGTTCAATCCCCAGTTATCCAGTAAAGAGAACTTGACTTGCGGGTATGTCAAAAGGTCTTTCTTCTATTGCATTTTTATATTGAGGTGGAATTACTATAAAAATTAACCATTTGAATTTGTACATTTCAGTGACGTTAAGTATATTCACATTGTTGTGTGTCCCTCAGCTCTATGTGATTCCAAAGCAAAAGTCATTTTTTATTATTGCTAAAATTTATAAAACACCATTACATATTGAGTAGCAATTTACTAATCCATGCAAAAATACAAAGCTGGAATATTATCTCAGTTTTCAAAGTTAGAAAGTTCAGATACCTTAAGTAAATTATTGAAGATCATACACACAATGTGTTGCTTAGTTAGAAGATGTCTGTTTCCAAAACCAGGTTCATCCCTTTGTTCTAAACAAACCTTCATCTTGGTAAACTTTATTAGTGTACAGACTTCTCGGTCAGCCACATATTTGTGTGCTGGCAGGCACTGACATTGCCAGCATTCTAGTGTGTTATTTCAGAAGAATATGTACTCAAGATTTTGCTTAATGTAGGCTTCTAAAATACTTTAATATTTTAAGATCAAAAAAGTTTTTTGACTCTTCCAAATTGTTACATAGCACCATCATGCAGAGAGAACTTGTTTTATTTTCTGTGGCATTCCTCACTGTCCTCTTGGATTTCAGATATGCTTCTTCTGTAAAGGACGGTTCCCAATACTTTGTGCTCCTGATTGTGACGGACGGTGTCATCTCAGATATGGCTCAGACTAAGGAGTCCATAGTCAATGTGAGTAGGGGTCAAGCATTTTGGGCTAGGTGACAGAATGGCGCTTTTATTCTAGGTAATTTAACAGTGAAATAAAATGCCCCTACCGTTGTTACAGATGGTAGTTTTCACCTTACCCAGACCTCTCACACACATCTGTCCCACTGATCCACAAGGACCAAGCTAGAGTATGTATAGTTGAATAGGAGCACAGTTCTCAAGTGTGTGTGTGTGTGTGTGTGTGTGTGTGTGTGTGTATGAGAGAGAGAGAGAGAAGAAGAGAGAGAGTCTGTTTGCATGAGTGTATTTGATTAATAGATTAGTTTGATGAACTTGCATACAATCTTCTGACCTGTACAGGTTATTCCTTAACATTTACCCATCAGTGACATGAGAACTTTGCTAGCTAATTCCTGTTTCTGTAAAACTGAATAGGAACTGGACTTGATTTATGTATGTACTTTCCTGCTCATTTTAATTCCTACTCATATGCTTGGTGTTTATGATTTAATTATCTTCTTTAAAAATTATCTTAAAAAATCTGTATTTCTTAAATGTTAGTCTATTAAAATTATATCTGATTCTACTCATGCCACAAACTTGACATTTAAAAATGAGTTGTGTGAATAAATGGCTTATCAAGCCTCACTATTTTTAGTAACATGGAGAAATATAATTAGCTGTGATAAGAGAAAAATAGTTACATGTCGGGAAAAATCAGATCCTTTATAGTTCTTTTTAAAGAAAAACCAAATGTAAAAAGGAGAGGATATAAAGTCATTCAAGTGTGTTTATGTTTATTTATTTTTAACTAGATACATTTGAGTTGAATTTGTCTTGATTGCCTTTATGTTCTGGTCAGTGGCATTAGTTCACACTTTAAACTCTGGATTAATAATTTAGACATGGTGCACCGGGAAACAGTTATTCTTAGTTTCTTGACCTTCATAGCTGAAGCTGTGGTTGCCATAGTTTGCCATCTATTTGCGGCTGGGGTTCCCAGTCTTGCCATTTAATTATTTAATAATTAAAGTGATACATATAATGAAAAAACACATTATAACATCAAATTTTAGTATCCCTCATGATTTCCTGGATATTTAATAAATTAACACAAAAAATAAGTTTCTGTGAAAATCATTTCTTTATACTTGCTATTTACTGAGACATGAATTTTTCTAACCATCTATAACTCTGAGCAAGGTAGAGTACGGTACACTGTTTTGTGGGGCTCATACTGTTTTTTCCCATTGGCAACTGATAGATTTTGTTGAGAAAGAACATGAAAAAGAAACCAAAGATACTGTCAGCTGAGGAAGGTTTTGGCTTATGGTAGCCAATGAAATCATATGCCTGCCCCTTAGCTTTTTAGCTGAATTTATGTAGAAGAAATCATAGCTGAAGAATAGATTAGCATATGCACACAGTTTGTAAAGGATATGAGTAAAATTATGCTGTTAATTTTGAATATGAGAAGAAGTTATCAGTCTGCCTTAAAATTCAGCATATTTTCTTCTTCTTAAGAACTCAATTTCTTAATTGACACTGAACTGTTTTCTTTTTGAAGGCCTCAAAACTTCCAATGTCGATAATTATAGTAGGTGTTGGGCCAGCAGAATTTGATGGTGAGTAGTAAAATTTCAATTGTATTCCTTGGGAGTTTATTTAATCTGATGTATAACATTCTTAGCTTCCTTTTATTATTTTTTCCATGTAGAAGAATATGATTGTTTTGTTTACTATGTCCTTGTAGACATAAATATGGATAGGTCATGAGGATGTCTATTAAGGTAAGCAAAATAAACGATTCTCTCATCTGAGTAGGACATTGTCTCTCTATAGATTTTCAACATGTAGCTTGACATTTCATTAGAGACATGTGGCTTGTACCTCAAAATAAGACTGACAAGGTAATAAACTGAGTTTTAGTTTGGAAGGCAAAACACTCTGGGCTCACTGAAAACTTTAAAGATGAACACTAAATTAATAAATCATTAAATTAAGAAAAGAAATGTTAACATAAGCATAATACGCTAGTTTAATAAGTTTCCAGGCCCTAGCTATTTGATGGACATTAGCTTTATAAATAAGGAAGTTCTGTCATGTAAAGGAGCAAAGTAAAATGAAAAATGAAACTGACCAGCTGAAATTTAATGAGCTATAATTAAGCTAAATTGGCTCACTGAGTAGTGTTCTGTTCGCTCAGGCCTTGTTTAAGTGCAAATTATGTGACAGGTGTTTGTATTACTCATGATCTGGGTTAAACTGCTTTAAGGATAATCAGTTTCTGGTCATCTGAGGTGAATTCTTTTCAGACAAGTTTGTGCTGAACAGCAATTGTATGACCAGATAACATTCACCTGGTTGAAGTTTTATTTGTTTGCTTGCTTATTTGTTTATTAACGATGGCCATTTATTTCACTTGGAACTTTGAATATAAGAATAGTTTAGAATGATTGGAGCCACTTTTGGTAAATTATCCATTAATTTATCTACATAGGTGGCTAAAGTGTGATTGTCACTGGGGTGACTCCTGCACACACACACCCCATAAGGAAAATATGGATCTGTCAGTCTCAGGTAAAACACTACAAGCAAAGCTGACCCTGAGAAGGCTAAGCTACATCTTTGTTTTTAATGCTTTCCATACTTGATCATCTGCATTTAATCAGTGATCCGCAAACTTCATGTTTGCTAAGCTAAAGTAACTCATATTTTCCTCTTTGGGTACTGTTGTCTCTTGCATCCAAAGGATTCACACTCAGGGTTGTATATCAGGTCTCCCAGACTCTCTTGGAAGTTCCTCTGTTAGGTGCATGGGCTCAGAGATGACAGACTCCATCCCTTCTTGTTCAGGAGCCTCCATCCATAACTCATGAGCACAGAGCCCTGATCTTCCTAGTGTATATTTCTGGCTATACATTTCTATGCAGACCAGCAGGCACAGCTGTTTGGGTACTGTATTCTTCAAATGGTCACCCCTACTTTTGTTCCTAATGAATTCCTTAGGGTTTGAGGTTTAACAATTCATTCTTTCCTGAGGTCTTGAACTAACTGAAAAACAAGTGTAGGAGTCGCTAAAAGCAATACCAGAAATGAATTTAAGATTTTTGTTAACCTGTGGACAGGCAACTTTTCATTGTTTTCACCCCCAAAGATCCCATGTGTTCACCCTTATTTCCCAGCCTCCTGTGGTAGGGTAGAACTTGGCTCACATTGGCTCCTTTGGCTCCAGGTGGAAGAGTAAGTGAAGATTCTAGACAAAGAGGAAGTTGCTTTCTCAGTACAAGTTCCTCCCAGAAATTAGAGTGATGGTTTCCTCTGGGAACATGTGAACAAGGAAGTAGGGTCCTGCTCTAGGTAGCTTCTGCTTTCACCATGACAAGTTTTAACAGGATGGAGAAAATTCCATGTCCTGAACTAAAAAAAAAGTCATTTATCCTGCTAGGAAACAATACTTGCTTCTCTAAAGTATTTTTCTTTCTTTCCTCTCAAAAGAGATCTCTTCTCCCATAACTGAGGAGAAAAGGGAAAAAAAATACTCATGTTTAATACAGAAAGTCTCTGAGTTACAATTACCTTGACACAGATCTCTGTCAGCACTACCAAATTTGCTGTAGTGTTCACCTAGCCCACATATAAACTGACATAGGTAAAAACTGAAATCTCAATTGCAGATTGTGTCAGGTAACCATATAAATCCACACCTACACATTTTTATCCAGAAAGACATTGTGTGGGCAAGAAATGCACTATTTTGCAGTCCGTGCTTTGAATAAATTATAAAATTAGTGAATATTCATATTTATTTCTATAGTCTAATAAGAAAAATTTTAAATGCTCTGCATAATTTTCCATAGCGATTTTCACTTCTCTATAAAGTACCTCCATTAAAAAGAAAGATTCTCAAAGCAAGACTTTGTTTTATCTATAAAGGGCAATCAGATTCAAGTAAAGCAGGATCTGCTACCTGCTTTGATTCAAGTTAGAGGAATGGCTAAGTAGAATGGATTCTACTGTCCCAGTATCTCCCATAGCTGGAAAGATGTACATCTGCCTCTCATACACCTCTTCTAGGAGAGGTACTAGTAGGAGCTGGGACTGAAAAACTGGAGAGTGGAGTAACCCTCCACCTCTTACACATCATCTCTTCTTGCTCTTAAAGGTATAGCCTTCAGTTCACCTGTAAGGTGAGCGTATTCCACAGACTCTCATTTTAGGATTACTTGCATTAGTCATTGTCTTCATTAATGGGCATGAAACACTCTCAAAAGACCAATGGAGACTGTAGAGGATTCTGGACGTTGAGACTTAGGTTGTCTTCTGATTCTTGCTTCCCATTTTAGAGGAAGTATAGGGTAATTTATGTAGAGTATTAGGATAAAAGGAAAAGTGTCTGTGTTTGTTGGCGTTTAGAAATCAGTGTACAATTATGTTGGAGTAGTGTGAACATTGTAAAAGCAAACCTGGGTGAAAACAGAAATTAATTATTGAAAATATTTAAGCACCCTACTTACATGTCTGTGAAGCAGAGGAAAAAAAATAGGTCTTGTGTATTTTGAATACATTGATTACCTTACTTGTTGCAATGCATACATTTTACAAAATTATGACATACTATGTACCTAAGCATATCTTTGGTGGTTCTCTACTAATTATATAAACTAGCAGTGGATTAGCCAAATCATTCCTTGTGAACAAGTGTAGAAAGATGAAATTTTTAAAGGCGTTTATTAACCCAAATGAATTATCCAAATACTAAAGAAAATTGTGAAGAAGGGAGGATTGTATTCTGATTAAGTGATATTTTAGTTTGAGGGGTAAAGAGGCAAACATTATACAGGTTTTCTGGAGTCTGGTAAATGTCATGTGTATACAAAATGAACTATCAGTAACAGAATTATACTTTAAGCACAAATGAGCGTCTCTCGTGTAATTAGATAATTCTTACTAAAAGCTTAATAAACTCTGGAAATTTTCTTAATTGAAGCATAACACTATGGGGCACAAGCTATCCCTTTATATCACAGCACTACCAAGTATCGGCTGATCTATACAATATTGAAATTATTTCATACATAATTAAAAGATCATACTTGATTCAGTCAATTCAAGGACTGAGAATCGCACTTTGTATTGTAATTGATTCATAAAGTAAAATTAGGTACCATATATATATAGCTTTGTTGTTTCTCAGTGAGCATGAAGTCTAACATGTATTGAAAATTTTATAATTACTGCCGAGTTTCTTAACGTTAGAAAGAAAAATTAAAACCAATGCTACAAGGATAGAACCTGTTCCCTGGAGAGAGGAACCAAGTTTGTTGCACAGTGCATTGGCCCTGCCTCTCTTTCAAGGTCAAAGTTTTGCCTTGCTTTTGTCTATGAAATGTGCACTCATTCAATGTTGTGGGAGAAGTGAATGAAGAGATGATACCAAATGGCTTTCTGTAATGACATAGACATACCTGTGTGTGTGTGTTTGCATATATGTAGATATGTGTATAGAGATGTGTATGATGTTTTTCCCCACAGTTTTAGTATTTGACTAAAATGTGTTGAATTGATCATATTTTATTTTCTAGCAATGGTTGAATTAGATGGAGATGATGTAAGAGTCTCCTCCAGAGGAAAATATGCTGAAAGAGATATTGTACAGGTAAGAAACTAAACAAAAATGATCTGTTTTGTTCATTATAAAGAGCCCTGTCTTCTCTAATTTGTAAAAAGCGACTTATATTGAAAGAAAGAGTTTTAGTTTCTGTTTAATTTATGACTTTCAGGAACTAGAAGAACACTCAATTATTTTTCCCTTTACTTCTGGTTCACAATATATAAAGTGGAATTGCTAAAAAGTGTCTTTTCCTATATTCCCTATTATCAGAAAATATCATTACGATCTTTAGTAACATGAGAAGCCTGGAAACATTACAGACTTTTTAATGAGGCTTATCTATTTATTCTTTAGTCCTTAAGAAAAACTAAGAGTGTGTGTGTGTGTGTATGTATATATATACATACATATTTTTATTTTCATTAAAAATGTTTGCAGTACAAAAGTGTGGGTAGTTGGCATGTGGACATAACACATTTTAATTCTTTTTATGTCTCCTTATCTTCCCTTTTCTCTTCATTCCCTCCATCTCTTGGTCCCATTACTAATTGCAAAAGGTATATCTCCCTGTTTCCTATAATCTATTATTTTGGCCTTTAAATTATACTTTGGGTTTCTCATATAAAAGTATTTAAGTTTGTGTATCTGATTTATTTCACTTAACATTATGATCTAAAGGTACATCCATTTTCTTACAAATGACTCAAATTCATCTTTCCTTATAGCACAGTAGTATTCCATTGTTTATAAATCCCACATTTTCTTTATCCATTCATCTGTTGATGGACAGACATACAGGCAGCATTCAAGATTTAGCTATGAGTTATGCTGCTATAAACATGGGTATACATGTATCACTGTAATATGATGTCTTTAACTCTTTTGGGGAGATAACTAGAAGGGGAATAGATAGAATATCTACACTGATTTTCATAGCCATTCTACTAGTTAATATTCCTACCAGCAATGTGGAAGGGTTCCTTTTTCCCCACAGCCTCACCAGCATTTCCTATTATTTAATATTGATAATAGTCATTCTTTCTGGAGTAAGATGAAATCTCAGTGTTGCTTTAATTTGCGTTTCTCTAATGACCAGAGATATTGAACATTTTTCATGAATTTATTGGCCATTTGTACTTCCGAGAAGTGTCCATTTAAGTTTCCTGGTTTTATTAAGTCTTTTATTTGGAAGGGTTCTAATTTTTAAATTCTTTATATAGTCTAGATATTTGTTCTCTGTTTGATATGTAGCTGGCAAAAAAATTTTTTTCCCTGTTCAGTAGGTTGTCTCTTCACTCTATGGGTTGTTTTCCTTGCTGTGAGGAAGATTTTTAATTTCATATACCACGTGTTGATTCTCAGTGTTATTTCTTGTGCAATTGGGGTTAAGACTATGTGTGTACTTATCCAAAGTAAATGAACTTAGTGTAAAATGCACCACAAAGATTGTAACTGTTGTCTTACTTAATTTCCTCATAGATTATGGTTAGAAAAGTAGAACAAGAGATTTTAAAGTTTGTCACACAGATATATATCATAATATATATTATACGGTTTATATAAATTTTACATATAGAAAATGTTAGAATTAAGAGAAATATTTTACTTCAGACTGTTATTTGGGGAGTGAATAGAAAGATAATGATAAGTAATAGGAATATAGATAACATTTATAATTGGCAGCAGGGTGGTCGCTCACTTCAGCACATCCTGTGTGTGGGGTGTGAGGAAGGAAGTGAAGCTCACCTCTTTAGACGGGAAAAGGAGTTGTGTCTCGGCATCACAGCAGCACGTGTTGGAAACATTCAGCGGCACAGTGGATTTCAGTCTTGGTTCCTAAATAATGACTTATATATTCACCCGTAATACAGCTATTAAGAGACTATTATTTGAAATCCTACAGAATTTGGTTCAGATCCTCACTTGGAATAACTTGGAAAAGCTCTCTAGATTTCAGTGTTCTGCAGGATAAATAGCAGCACTGTGAAAATTGTTATAACCTATACAAAATACATTCCTGAAATAGAACTTGATAAAACACAGCAAAAAATGAGTAAGGGAGAAAATATAAATTAATCTACAAATACGGTCACAAAAGGAATAATTTTTATTAAGGTAAAAAGTTGTTCTTCATCAGCCAGCAAAATTCAGTTTTTAATAACTACATGAATTTTTTAAAAGATAATTACTTTTCAACCTAATAGATTTGGCAGAATGAAAAACACATACATATAGTAAATGACTAAGCTACAAGGTTTTGAGAAAGAGAATGAAGTGACATCATTGTGTTTTTCCTTTAATTACTCACATAATTATTCATCTTACCCTTATCATAATTTAAGTCTAAGTAATTATACTTTACTTAATAGCTGTCCATTATATCAGGCTCATAGTTTCAAAAGAAATCAGATTACAGAGGGAAGGTATGAATTTGAAGTCCTTTAAAATTTGTTACATTGCTTTTGTGATGCATTTTTATAAAATTAGCTGAGGAAGCCTCTTATCTCATAGTTTCATTTAAATGATTTTTAAGAGAAACTTATTATTACTTTGTCCCTTAGGAACTAGCCAAGATCGCTCACATCAGTAAAGTTTCCTTGACAAGCACCAGTATATTATGTCAGTGAAAACTAAGGGTCATGGCTATTTGCATTTATAAAAATTTAAAGTGTCCTTGATTATAAAGTTAGTCTCAATGGATATACTGCACTGGACAGAATATTGAGATAGGATCCAGACAATCTATCAAAGTATAATTGTGTAACTCTGAACTTGAACCAGTCATTAAATCTCTGTTAGCTTTTTATTTCATTATCTGTAACTTCAAAGTTCTTTCACTGTTCCCACGAGGTTTCAGGTCAACAGATATATATTATCATATCAACATAGATATATCAGTATAATTATACGTTTCTATTTATTTAGTTAGTTAACAGCACTGGGGGTTGTAGCTAGGGCCTTCACACTGAGCTGGATGTCCAGCCCTTTTTTTTTTTTTCCGTCTGGTACTGAGGATCAAACTCAGGACCTTGCGCTTGTGAGGCAGGTGTGGTGCCACTGAGCTGAATCCCCAGCCCCACAGCCCTTTGTTTTGTTTTTTTAAAATTAATTTTATTGGTACATTTTAGGTATACAATATAATGCCATTCATCATTGGAAATTTGCACCTTTACATAATCTCTCTTGGTTCTTATTTTTCCCCCTTCCCCTGCCCTCCCTTCAACCCCTCCGTCCCTCCCTATTTACAAAGACTTTGTTTCCATTTTATCATTTTCTCATATCAATTCCATTCCCTTCTTTCCTTTCCCCTACCCCTCCCACTTCCCCTTCCCCTTTTCCCCTTTTCTTGCTGTTTCACATTATCTATTATACCTTTTAGACCTTATTTACACTTTCAGTGCCTCACAGCCCCTTTTTTTAAAGATAGAATCTCACTAGGTCTCTAAGTTGCCCAAGCTAGGCTCAAACTTGCAGTCCTCCTGTCTCACCCTCCCAGAGTGCTGAGATCACAGACATATGCCACTTTGATCCTTGGCAAGTTTCCTCTTCTTGAAAGTCAGAATCTATGAAACCAGTTAACAGGATTAAGAGCTATAGCACTACATCGATCACTTCTTAATGTTATGTGGCATAACTTTGATTACCACAAAACAAAAGTGGAGTTCAAATTTTTCTTGTCCATAACCCATAGCTAAAGATAAACAGAACCTGGATTTAATCCTAACATATCTGGTTATAAAAGGTATTTTGTATAGTTTTGATTCTAAAACAACATACCATTTAAGATTCTCTACCACCTGACCTTAGTTTTCCTCCTTGGCTATTATACACACAAACACAATACACTTTATCTAGACAAATGGGCTGTCTTTCACCACACACTCCAAGATTCCTGGTTTTATCTTTTCTTGTCATTTAATCTGGGATTTTTCTCCTGGATGTCCTACAAAGCCTCCTCCAAAGTGTTCACTCACCATCCTTGAACTAATTGCCCTTCTTTCACTTTTCTCCCATGTAATTTTTATCTTTTAAACATATTGATTATTTTTGTCTCATAGTCATTTATGCATAAAGAAATTATGGTCCAAGATGGAAAGTGAAATAACTTATACAAAGTTACTTAGGTCATATGTTGATAGATCCAAATTACCAACAGAGTTCTGATTGCAAGACCTACATTCTTTCTGTTATAACACACTTGCTCTCCTAAAAGGCAAGATTCTAAAAAATACTGGGATCATTTCCCAGTTTCACATTACAATAGGGTCTAATGTGTCAGAGTCAAATCAATTGGAGTTCAAATAATGACTCACCATCTAATAGGAAGGCTAATTGTATGTCACTATTTCAAGCTATATCTTGATATATCACCCTATAGGGAGTCTTAAGTGTGATAATGTCTCATTGCCTCAAGGTTTGACCTAATATAACTATAGTATAAACACTAAGCAGGACAAGTTCCTATGGTGGTATTCTAAAACTTAGGTGACTTAGTATCTTAAGTCAGTATATGTAAAGGCATTTCTTCTGCTTGTTTGTTTGTGCTGTGGAATGTCTGTTGTGCATAATGCCATGCCCATTTTTCCTGGCTGCATGCAGATGCTGGCCAGTCTATCATTTCCTTAAAAATTATATTTAAATCATATTTTCCATTAAAAGGAGAGTAGTAACCTTGAAGGCTTAGACTAAAAATCACTAATGGAGCTCTGCACAGTAGGAACAATCAAACAAAATTGAACAGGGCAGCAACTAAAAGCCCATTTGCCCAAAGTGATTCAAACTGGTTTTTGCAAATAGGCAAAGCCAGCCATTAGAGCAGCCAAGTGGAACATTTTCCTTAGACTGGGTGAATGTGGACGGTGAAAGAAAGGTGGAGTATAGGGGATGCTATATTTTCTACATAGGAGAGTGCATTTATTTGTATTCTTCATATGAATGTGTTCAATCAGTGTAAAGTGAAAGTTGATTTATTCTTCTAAATTGAGCATGCATTTTAAGGGTCTGAGTTTTTGTGGTCAGTGTGCATTCACAAATGTGTGGGAATGTTTTTCAGCATCCTCAGGTATCAGACTCAGAAATGAGAGATTGGACAAGAAAACAAACACTGGTCTGACATGTTGAGTGGGAAACTGTAGTTGGTAGAAGGATATGAGCAATCTTCCAAAAACATTGAGAGCATATTTTGTCATGAAAGCTGTAAAATTTGACATAATAAGATGTAAAGGAAATGAAGAGTCATTTGTCAGTTTCATTTCTCAGAGTATTTCATGATACAAGTGAAGAAATTAATGTTTCTTTTGAAAAGATTTAGATACTGTAGGCTTAAAGAGGAGAAAGTTCTGAATGACTTTTTCTCCTCCCAACATACCTGTAGGCTGAAGTATGTTCTTCTTGCCAACTGTGACTTGATATGACAATGATTCTCAAACTGGGATTTAAGAGGCACCTTAGACTCTGTACCTTCACCTACCAAGCCTAAGTAAAATAAGATACACTCTCCCATCTTAGGTTGAAAACTAGGATTTCTTCATTATTCACTTTTTATAACCAGGTTTTAAAAATGATTAGAACTGAATGTTTGGAGAACATGATTGTGCATCTTTAATTTTGACATTCTAGAGCAGTGGTGGTGAACCTATAGCAAACGTGATACAGCAAGCTGTTTGTATCATTGAAAGCTCTAAAAGGTTCACCATCCCGGTTCTAGAGTATCTTAAAAATGGATTTTAATTAACTTTAATTTAAAAAATTTCTACACTGGGGCCGGGGATTTAGCTCAGTGGTTCCGCTCCCTGCCTCGTAAGCGCAAGGACCAGAGTTCGATCCCCCGTACCATAAAAAAAAAAAAAAAAAATTTCTACACCATTGCACTTTCTAGGGAGGTGGAAAAAAAAGTGTTTTAAAATAATGGAAGTCTACAAATTATTGCTTTTAATTAGCTGCCACTGCACTAAAATTTAAAGAAGATGGATAAAATATCGTATTTAATATTTGCTCTGAATGTAAGTTAAAAACAATTCAGCAAATAGTTTCATTTTTATTTTGATCATATAAATGAGTAGTAATGAAGAGTGATAGTAATGAGGATAATGATACTATCGCATATGGTAATTGAGTTTAACACTCTTATACACTTTATATATCAATTTAATTCAACAACCTAATGAGGTAGATTTTATAACCACTATCTTCATTTTAAAGAAGAGGAAACTGAGACAGAGATTGGAAAATAACTTACCCAAGATCATGTAGGTCATGAATAGTAGAACCAGACCTTTAACACAAGTCTAATTCCAGAGTTTGTGAGAATAGGGATAAAAAGAGAAGTGGAGTTTAATGTTCACGATGTGGTAGAAAGAAAAGGAATCAAATAAACATTAGTAAAGAACACAGATGAGTACAATCTCGCCTTTCCTAAAGAAGTAACAACTAGGAAAGAGGTATACCTGTTTTCCTGAAATGAACATATTAGCAACACATTTTCAAAGAGCTGAACCGTTTTCAAAAAGTAATTTCAAAGATAGCTACATGTACACCAAGTGTACCAACATTACTAAATGTTAATTTTTGAATGTTGTGCCTTCTAAAATGTGTGGAATAAAGTGTAAACTATAACTACCACTATAATTACCTTTTTGTTATCTTTAATTATGACTCCTAGTTTCTTACTTTGTAATTTTAGTTTTCTAAAGAAAATAAACCTTGACTTTTTTCTTTTGTACCTCTATGATTTTTGCTGATATCAAGTCTTAATCATAATTAGGTAACATGACTTCACCAAACTTCATGTTCACCTTGTTCTCTTCTAAGCTAAAGACTATATTCACTGTTAGTTTTTCCTTCCCCTGACTTAGTGACCCTCAAGAGCAAGAGAAAGATGTTTCACTTTTATATCACGTGCTTTTGAAAAACCTCCCTGAGTTTTCCACTTGATAAGATAGGTGGAATTATGGCAACATAGGTATGCCTCTTCCTATAAAGTGTCTTCTTTTAAAAGCAAGGAGTAATTTTCTATTCTTCTTTTAAAAGAGAATGGTTTTACTGCATCAAAAACTTTACATCTGCTATTTGGTTCCCTAAAATTTTAGGGAACCAAAATGTAGTGAAATGTAGCAGTTTGATCATTTTAAGCTTCCTAATAACAGTTACTTTGTAAAAGCACATCTTGAATAACATTTTAGTTGAATGCAAGCTTTTCAAAATAAATATAAAACAGTTATATTACAATATAAGATGGGGATATTCTTGCTCTTCCTTTCTTTGGACAAAAAAGAATGATTTGGTTCAAACTTTCAAACACCACACTGAGAAATATTTCAACATTCTAAAATGTCTTCACTGTGCCTTTTCTCTGAAAATCAGTAATTATTTTGCTCCAAACTATTACAGCATTAACAATTGCAACCACTTCCACGTTGCTTCAAGAATCATTATGTTCCTAAACAGATTGAGCTAATTCCCTTAAACAGCACAGTGTTTGTTACTTACCCATTCTAAATGAGAAGAGAATCAAGCAATCTATTGCTAGAGTATTTGATGTTCAGCTATAAGGGTTTTCACATAATTACTTATGTAAAGATAGTGCAGTCATTTTCAGATTGTATAAAACTAAAAATTATATTTAAGTATACCAAAATCTCATGCCAAGATGTTTCTTTCACCTTCCCAAATAATAAGTATAAAAAATCAAAATCTGGGGCAAGATTCAATGTACTGAATATTTCAGGTTTCTTCTGATAGTGGCTGTGTGAATTTTACTTTTATTGTCCATATAATATCCAAGTAATAATTAAAAATAATGTGTTGAAGCCTCCCAGTATTTTACGCTGAATCAGGTAGTATTTGTCCTTTATGCTACATTAGGTAATAGTTTTGCATCAGAAGCTCAATTTGACATGTATAAATTCCATTAGATAGAAAACTAAACCCCAAAGAGGTGAACTTTTTAATCCTGATGCGCCTTAGTCTATAATGTGCATAATCAGGACCAGGTAGCATGAATGAGTTAATGATAAACAAACAAGAGAATGACATCCCCTTTTAAGTAAAATGAATATCAGAAAGTTTGGGTTACTGTTGGTTTTACTGTCAGAATTTTAAAAGTTAGTTCTGTCCTGGGCGGAGAGTCTCAGAGATCCCAGGCCTGACTCCCAAGACGCAGAAGGTTGTGGAAGAATCAGACAGAGATCGAAAGTGTAGAAGCAAAGTTTATACTTTAATCTAGCCAGCATGCAAGAGTATAGCTGCCTTCCCTCAGAGAGACAGGCAGGGGGTTTCCTGAAACGGAGCCACCCTTGAGGGTGGGCTCGAGATGTTAACTTTCTAGTAGTCAGGGGCCTGTACTGTTTGTGGGCTGAGGACGCCCTTACTTGATTGGTTGATTGGCTCATTAATAGGGAGGATGGGGAAGGGTCTTTGGGGGACTTTCCACATTCTAAGGTTAGGTTTCCTTTTTTCTTTACCTTCTGAAAAATAAGCTTTGCAGGGTACAGCACACAGAGGAAGTGTGACCGCAGCTGTCTGCTCTTCTCAGGTGGTTAAGCCTGTTTGTTTGTCAGAACTCCTGGGGGGTTGTCCTGCCTTTTCCCTACCTATGGGTTTCTATCCCTACAATTCTTATTCACCTCATTCTTACTCTGGGCTTCCAAAATTCTCCTACAGTCAAATGTTTACACACTGTGATGTTTGTGTCCATTTCAGAGCTTTTTAATCACATGGAATTACCTTCTCTCGTTTCTGTTTTAGTTTGTACCATTCAGGGATTATATTGACCGAAGTGGAAACCACATCCTGAGCATGGCTAGACTGGCTAAAGATGTCCTGGCCGAGATCCCCGAGCAGTTTCTCTCCTATATGAGGGCCCGGGGCATCAAGCCGTCACCTGCGCCTCCCCCGTACACCCCACCCACACACGTGTTACAGACGCAGATATGACTGTGCCCCAAATGCTCCCCGCATCAGCTGCACATCAGTGAGAGCTGCTGAGTTACATTCTGCACCTCGTGCTCTGTAATGAACCAGGGAATGAGATACTTTCGCAGTTTGGGTTCAGCAGTTCTAGTTTATGTGCTTTCTCGGATCCAAAATTAATTCTCTTCCTAAACCAAAACTGTAAATATGGTTGTTGCATGAGCAACAGAAAAATTGTTTAAATGCTTGAAGCAAAATACAGATGTCTTCTCTGAATCTTTCTTTTTTCCTTTTTGACAAAACAGCTAATTTCCAATGTATTATTGGGAAAAAGCACAAACTATGTTTTTAACTGAAATATTGTCTTCGACTGCTGTATGTATAAGAGAGCAGTCTCTCTGTATCAATGTTTACATGTTACTACTTTTTAAATTTCAATACTTTTATAACTGTTCTTAAGACTAAGAGTTTTGGATATTGAATCCTTTGTCTTCTAAATTGCAATAGCTATAATCACAAGAGCAATATCTCTTTGAATGACTGTCTGGACAAACACAGTTACAAATAAGGGAAGAGAAAGATGTTTAATATTTCTCAGTAATTGAATTGTCATAAGAAACCGCATCTGCTCAGTAATAAAGTTTTCTGTAACATTTGCCAAGTGTGGGAGTTTAAGCTTAGCAGATGTGTACCCTGTAAGAACACGCATTTTTCATGGAGTTTGGGTTCTAAATTTAGGCTGAAGTCTGTTTATATTTTGTAACACGAAGTAGAAATAATAAAAAGTCAAACATTGTGAACTGTAAATGCACAGAAAATACTATGTGTAAATAGCATTCTTATATTGTAATGTTATTTAGAAGGACTAAAACAAATAATATTTAACTATGAATCATGTAGCAGATGTTTTAAACTTTTTATTCCATTGTATCTTGTCTAGATATTTTAATTCAAAGGGATACTGGCTCTCGAATTGGGATTACTTGTTATCACCTTTACACTTCTCTACACAGGGTGCACAGGCTGGAGTCTTCTGTGAAATTTCCAGTTCAATATATACAACCACGTGACTTAGTGCACAACACATTTGTGAAATAACCTACTACATATACTGACCTGCCTGTCCACTCTACAATTAATTGTAAAGAGTTTTTGCATGTACAGTTTTTACAGTTTTTGTGAAGTTGTGTCTAAATTAAAGCATTTCTTCAGAACAAATGGCCTTAAATTCTCACAGAATTCCTGGAAATGATTGTGAATTGCCTTTAAAAACTGGAAAAGTATATTCATTTATTTTTCTTTTGTGTCAACAATGTAACTTCTTTATAATATTTTTCCTTATCTATACCCAATTTATTACTTGGTTTATTTCTACTGTATGTTGTTCTTTGTCCACCTTGACCTAGGGTGACTTTTATAAGCATGAACCTATTTTATTGAAAAAAATACATAGGTACACATATCTAACAGAAACTGTTACAAAACTGTAATACTAAATTGTTCATTTTTAGGTATGTATTAAAACCTTTAAAAAGAATAACTTTGCTTTGTACATTTCATTTATGAATGACATGGAGTCTGGTGATTTTCTTAACTTATCTTCAATATTTAGGCCAGTCTATTTTTAACTTAAGTTTTTTTAACTTATAATTTTTAAAATTTATTCATCAGTCCAAGCACCAAGAATAAATAAGATCAATATACTCTTCCTCTTGTCAAACATGAGTTATTTTTCTTTGAACTGACCTGAGAAAATGAAAGATGTACATGTTCTTGTTTAAATAATAAGGTAGACAAACATAGCAGGAATACATGGTTAGGAAAAGAGCAGTCTCAGTTATAAATCTCCCCTTTTGTGAGGCTGAGAAGAATAACCAGAAACATTTGTGATGTTTTGTGTGTGTGTAAGACTAGAAAATATCAGGTCTTCTTCATTATAAATGAAGACACCAAGACTGGAAGGAACAAGTAAGTATGCAAGACTAACTGGAGAAAAGCTCATCACGAAAATATTTATTATAACTAAATTCTTTGCTTTTAGGTTATGTGCAATAAAAAGTCCCAGAAACATACTCCACAAATTCAAATCTATACCAGTAGCAGTACCTAAAACTAGGCATCAGCGTTATTCAGGCATTAGATGAGAAGCAACAAGAACAGTTTTTACTGAGAGAAGAGTGACAGATCCAAATCAGAAAATCTGCTACAGAAATGAATTCCAGATGAGCAATGGGCCCCTTAGGGATCCCAAAGGCTTTGGATGCTGTCCTCCTAACTCCACTCCCTTCTTCTACACTGAACCCTCCGATGACCACTTTGTCTCCACAATGAACCTTGGCCACCTATTTGATCATCTCCATCACCAGCTCTTACTCAGTTATTTCATATCAATCCCCACTGCTTCCCAAATGAACACATTACACCTGTCGCCTGACTTCCCCAACAGACCGAGGTCAATCAAGCATCTCCTTCATTGTGCTCATGCTTCTCTCAGTGGGCCGTCTTCTCTCGTGCCTACTCAGAACAACCCTTGGATATTCCAGCTCAAATTTCAACTCCTCTTAACTGTGCTCTTTAGCTTCAGCTCATAGCAATCAGTCCCTTCTGTGAGCTCATCATTGTGGCATCTTAGTGTAGGTGCACCTCATCTCCCCATCCTTAATACTACTTAATAACATCTGCATATGAGACAAGTTTGAATGCTTCTCAGTTTGATATGCAATGCAGTATGCAGCTGCTGCAATTGAAGAATGTCACATGACTCCGTGACTGCTTTTTAAATCCTCTCCAGCCATGCAGCACAGGGAGAAAAGAGGCAGGTGTGACTCCCACGGAGAACAGCAGTGGTTGGAGAAGAAGACACTTCAAGCACAGAATCAAAGTTCAGATATTATTTCTTAGAATGAGTACAATTCTAGAAGCCATCCTCTCCTCTACACCACTATAGTGCTGCTGGGCCATGCACCCCATCTTCCCACCAAGCTCTCCTCTTTGCTCCCCTGATAGCTTAATGTCATTTAATAATAGACAAAGCCTTTCCACAAATACAGGAGCTGCTGAGACAAAAGAGATGGAACTTTTAAGCACTAATAAGTACATCTGGTAAACATGCTGACAATTCTGAACCAAGAACTGTTTCCAAAAGTCCTTTCTTCATCTCACGTTAACATGATTTTAAGATGTTAAATGCATCTTAAATACCAACTTTCCAAAATAAAGCCTATCCTCATATAATAGTAACGTTCACTAACAATATAATAAAAAGGATATGATTTTGTTGAGGGAAGATTTGGTACATCATAAGCATACAAATGTGTGTAAAGGCATCCTTTGAAGATGTCAGAGGAGAAACTAGAAAATTACCACAAGTGTTTAATAGTCTGTGTTTATAAGTCTTTTAATAGATGATTCTCCTGGAAATATTTACATCCCAGATTTTAGGTTTCACAACCTACAGTGAGGAGGCACCCAGTAGAGGTACAGTATATATTTCTACAATACCTAGTACTGTGCTAAAGGTGACAAACAAAATTGCTTTTCTTTACATTGATGTGACCCAGCAACCACTTCGCTGTATGGAAATCTTATGTCCTTAAACATACACAATATACAGAAATCCTCCAGCATGAAGTTCATACTCAGATTGCTGCTAAGACATACTAGTTTTAATTCATATCACACAATTCTGAACAGTTTTTAAGGACATTTCTTCAAACTTCACAAGGCAGAGCTCACCTCACACTCCATCACCACCCCCCATTTGACCTTGCTCTTGGTTCCTGAGCTTTGATGAGGGTTTTAATGTCAAATCTAAGAGGAAGATGACTGCTCACCTCCTGCTGTGGAAAAACCAAGAGCAAACTGATCTATCAATTTGCTCATTTGATTTTAAAGCCATGACCTCATGATTTTCTCATCACAAAGTTATTCACTGATTTAATTCCCATGAAATGGGCCTGTTGGGTATTCCTAATGCATATAGATAAGCTGATTTCATGCAGACAGGATTTGCTATCAGTCAGAGGAGTGCAGATCACTGACCTTACAATTAGGAGGAAGGATGAAGTTAGAAACATGCTTAGGGTTGGCATAAAAATAGCTGCCCTTCCACCGATCTTCCTCACCTTGCAAAGTAAGACAATATGTCATAAAACTCATTCTGTAACTTTACAAAGATCAATCACCTTGATTACAGTTAGATTTATACAAGATTGTGCTACAATAAACGTATAAAGAACATTTCTGGGAGTGGATGTGAGGCTTGCTCCCATAGTCCCAGCTACTTGGGAGGTTGAGTCAGGAAGATCACTTGAGCCCTGGAGTTTGAAACCAAAGAAACAAAAATAAAACATATTACCCCAAAACAATGTGCCTTACAAATCCTTAAAAACAAGCTTTAAATCTGAATCTACTTAACATTAATTCACTATCATTTTTGACAAGACCAAAAGGCATATTCTATAATTTAGAGATTAGAAAATTTGGTAGGTACTTTAGATAATTCTGAACCACAAGGTTTAGAAATACCTGGGCAAACTGACAAAACAGACAAACACTAGAAACTCCTTTGTGTTCATCAAGAGCTATCTTCTGGCCAGGGGATTTAGCTCAGTGGTGCCGCCACCTGCCTCGAAAGCGCAAGAACCTGAGTTCAATCCCTGGTACCAAAACAAAACAAAAACTGTTTTTTAAGCTCCTAAACACTAAATAGACTTAACCAAAACAAAACAAAAAATCTATTATATCAATTTGTGCCTGAATTAGGTGGCAGTTTTGAAAGATGAATTAAAGTCACCTTTAATTTTTCACTTCATCTTTCACTTAAACTTCTGGATGCTTACAAAGTACTTTATACTCAAGGATTTGTCCTAAAAATCACTCTATTCAAAACAAAGATCTCTTATGAAGTGACTTAACGTGATTGACTGCATGGATCTCATGCAGCCCTTGGATGTTGCTGGCTGCTGCCTGTTCTTTGTGTGTCTCCTTTAGCACCATACACTCACAGAGTCTGTCCTGATGACGGGCTGAACAGAATCTCCTTGCTCTGCATTCCCAAAATACCCTGTTCCTACCCTTCTGGTGTTGACCTGTATAATCACTTATTTGTGGTCTGCATTTTGGTTTCCTCCAAGAACTCCATGGGAAACAGAAGCAGGCAAGACTTACTCATTTTCTTCCACTTACCTGGGCCTGGTGCTAGGCGGGTCATCAACTAACTCAGGAAAATGAATTGAATGGAAAAGCTGACTACTAAGAATGTTACATTAGTAATCTGGTATCTTAAGGTGAGCCAGAACTTCAATATATCCAGACAGAGAAAGATCAGTGAAATCTTAAAGCACTATCAAACTCACTTTTCCCATTTTTATTTATCCTTCATTCTAAACCAGAACTGTGAGATGGAATGAACGGAGCTCAACTGCCTCTCTCTCTCTCTCACCACTTGCCCTGATAGGGCTAATTAGCAGTGAAATAGTCAAAGGCAGGCAAGCAGCAGGAGAGAAGAGATTAATGAAGCTTTGATATACTGTGATAGCCACTTGGCCCTGATTAAGTTAGACCCAGGAGAAATTATTCAAAAGGTGCCAAAATCTTACATAATGTCTGCAGTGAAATTTCTTTTGACAAAACATGCTATGTACAATATAAAACAAGATTTAATAAAATAGAAAACTATTAAGCACGTTGGCCCACATTCCCCCATAAAATTGATAGATGATGAGAATTCATCTTTTAGGTACTAGAAAAGCACACTACATCCTAACCTATGCATTTTATCTGCATGTGTGCCTTTCCTGAGTGTACTGTGGTGTGCATGTGTCTGTGTGTGGGAGGTGACCACATGCCTTCATTTGTGCATGTGCCATCACATATATCCAGACAATAGTAAATGTGGACACAGTAAACAAGGGTAAGGGGGTGCAGAAAAATGACTTTTAAATGGATTTACCACATTTCATGATGTTGATTACCTATCCTCGAAGTGGTAATGATGGACTCTACAGAACGTGTACAAATTCTGAAGGCTAAAACTTTGCAACTGCATTCATAATAGGACAGGTTAACTTGCAGATCCTACTATGATAATATTTATGATTTTTAATGTATTCTTGCATCCTCTGCTTAGCAACAAGGGGGAAAGATTTAATGAATATGAATTTGACAGTGGGGAAGAAATGCGGAGGACTATAGGCATTTCATATTGACATTTTAGCTCATAATTCCACCCAACAGTTGATAAGACTGAATCCTATTTAACTTTCTGAGAAGGAATTAATAAATACTCAAAATCCTATTAGTATCCTCCATTAAATAATCTATCTCATATAACCATCAGCATAGTAATGACTTTGGTTTAACATTTATCACTTAGGAAGAGCTCTCCTGTCTACACCTATCAAAGCTACTCACCCTCAACATTTAGATCAAATGCTGTTTTTGACACATCTTTCCTGCATCCACTTGATTATTAGGAATCAATCCCTTCCTTTTCCTGAGTTTGTATGCAGGTCTTGTGATCTGTGACTCTAGGGA